CAATATTTTTAATAACAATAAATAGGCTTGTATACTTTTAAAATAAAAGGATGACATACAGAAGAAATATTGAATTATTTAGATAGCCCACGTTCCATGTATTGGCTAACTAGAAATAAATCAGTTATTGAAATTAAAAAGTAAGCTGGAAATGGAAACATTAAAAAATCCTCTGGTTTTCATTGGACAAGTGCGTTACCTATTAAATCACCACCACCTATGACAATGAATGTCGCAAATAACAAATAGTGACAGGACTAAATAAACGAGAAAGTATTCTAAGCTTGCACATACCGATTTGAAAGAATATATTTACGATTACAGCCACTTAGGTCCCATTTTATTTAGTTTATACATTAATGATCTCCCATCGGTGATTAATTCCAGCCAGATCTTAATGTACGCTGATGACGTAAAACTGTTTTCTTCCTTCTGTCTAGAATCGCAATCACATCACCTTCAAAGTGACTTGAATAATTTGGTTGCATGGTGCTCTTTGAATCTTCTGAAACTAAATCTAAATAAATGTTAGAAGCTTTCTTTCTCAAGAAGAAAGTCATTCATTGCTCAGTATTTCATTGGTTCGCGTTAAAGCAACATTGCTTAATGCGCGTAATTTACGTATGTCGTACTTAAACTATCTCTTAACCTTAAAATGTCATTATGAGTCGAAAATAAATTGTTGTTAACTATAATCGGTCGTCAAACTTATGCATGTTTGCGATGGCTTAGTGGTTCAATCGCAATTTGGTCCTGTACCGGTTGTGGGTGTGGCTCTATGCTAGTTGTGTACATGCATTTTTTCTCTTTTTTTTTCTTTCTTATTTGTGTTATTGTATTTATATTAAGTTTCAAAATTAGTTAATATAAGATTTACTTTAAGAGTCAATTGAACTCGACTGTCAAAATTTTTAGTTGAGTTTCTTGTATAAGTGGAATAAACAAATAAATAAATTACGATTGGGATTACTTTCAATTCTCGACTTAAAAGTCATTATTTCTTATGGTGAAATCAAGCATAGCCACTATTTTTATTGCTGATATCCTTAGATCCTAGTGCGTTAGAATGTACGTCTCTGGTTAAATTAATGATAATAATATTGCTTGAAACAAACACACTAAACTTTTTATATCGTCGCTCTTTTTTTTTATAATCCGGGGGATTTGTATATTTAAAAATTATAAAGTCTCTTCCAGCCGTTAAAACTTAGTTTCCATAAAAGTACTCCACTCTGCCTTTTCCAAATTTTATAGTATACCATAATATAAACGAACATTTATTTATATATTTTCTCAACCCTTACTAATATCGAAAATTTTAATCGAAAATGCACACAGGTATACAATAGCAGCATCAGTTTTTATGTGTTCAATAATAACATAATAAATTGAATTTCTTTTATAAGACTATCTTACCTAACATGAACTTATGCATTTCCTTGCATGTATTTTTGGGTCAAGTAATCGGTTATCTTATATCTGTTGAGACAAGACTATTGTTTCAATTTAAGTGTATTGAAGTAAATAAACCAAATGTGACACACATACCTTTTACAGGCATTAAGATAGTACATGCACATGGTAACATATATAACACCGAGCTCATGGATTGCAAAAATCATGGTAACTTTTAAAGGCATGTGCAAATAGTCGATTCTTTTTATTTATAAGCAAATTAGGAAAGGTTGAAAAATACCTAAAGTGAAATGAAATAAATTACACTAAATAAAAGAGAGAAAAAATGAGATCAAAGGGAAAATAGAGATAACAATGAAGAACAACGTTATATTTTGCAATCTCAATTATTAACAATCGGGAAGATAGTCCTCTCACAAGGAAGTTGGAAAAATATGTTCAAGCTTTTTGAACGTACTCTTAAGGTCCTAAATTGCAGGATTTCATCTACAATTAATATGTTTATATCCCATGCACCTTTTTTCAGTGCACTTGCCCATTAATACATATTCCTATGTGAATATCTGATGCAAAGTACTATACCAAGAACATGGTAGCATGTGGATCATTCTCATTATCAGACACGAATCGGGCTTATTATCTGATCTTCATCTGCGAGCATTATCCATGTTTGGCATTCCAGAATTTTACGGCTTGGACAATTTTTAATTTGTCTTTCTATGGTGGGTACAAGAAGGAAGAAATTAAACTCAGCTTGGTTTTTGGTATCCAATTGCGCGCTCACCATTCGCTCGTAAAGCAGAATGAATATCAATTCCTCTGGAAAATTGTCTCCATTGTTCCGAAAATGTCATGTTTGATAACTTGAGTTTTCATGAGAATTAGTGGAGTTTCCAGGACACAAAATTCTAATGAACGAGAAAACGACATACACATTAATGGCGTGTTACCTGCGTCATATAGCTTGCGACTGGCGAACAAATTAACAACAATTGACAGCAATTTAGCGGGAAACGAATTAACTGATTGAGGTAGTAATGGTAACTTGCTTGTGAAAGAACAGCAGAATATTTGCGGAATGCAAGATCAGTCGGGCCAGTCGTAACAGAGTCAAAACGGGAGTCACAAAAGAGTCGAAAGTCAAAGGAAGGAATTACAATATTCGAATGGGCTAGACAAGAAGGACACTCAACTTGTAAATATAAGTTTCTGTAAATAATTTGTAAATAGATTTTCTAATTTTGTGAATAAAACTCATTTCAAAAGTATATATAAATAACGTAAAAATCTTAAAAGGCGGATTGATTTACGTTATAATATCATAAGCATTAGTTTAGGGAACATTATATACTTTTCTACTAATTGCGAATTGATCGCGGAGTCATCTAACTGCTCTTTGCTGATAAAAGATTTAGAAAAATAACTTCTTAACTTCTTAACGTAAGCACTTTTTAACCAACACTCGAAGAAACTCGGAATGTATTTTGGTACCAATGAAACGTGTATGGCAGACCCGTATCGCAGATGCAAAGTTCCCACAAGGAACAGCTAATTCCGTTAATGTTAAAATATATTGATTGTAAAATAAATGAATTTTTAAAATTAAAGGCACTTTCGACTTATTCTCACAAACATTGCTTTGCGTTGGACATATGTTTATAAAAGGGATTTGGTAGACGCCTCTGATGGGAATTTGTCGATTTGAATAAAAAAAAAATTGTAGAAAGAGCTAACAGTGTTAATTAGTAAAGTAAAGTTATCAGAGCCTTAAAGTTCAAAAAAATCAACGCATTATAAAGTTCGTATGTTTCCTGTAACGTAATACGACTTTAAATAATATTAACAACAATCTATCAACAACAAAAGTAACAGACAAATAAAAACTAGCAAACGTTTTAATTTTTATTACCTTCAGTAAATTTAAAGTGTAGTCATTGCCCTGTTATTGCAAAACAAATTCATAAATATTATAATAAACACGTATGTACATATATATATGTATATGTAAGTATTATTTATTTTATATATTATAACAAATATATAAACAAATGCACCTTTATATAAATGCTTTTATGATATGTAGATATGTTTACTACTTTCTGAACGACCGGTATTCATGGCACATACAACACGTTCGTGGTTTATGTGTAATTTTGTCAATATTCCACCAAAAAAATTAATTTATTTAAGGTTAACTTTAATGAACGTTGACAATTAAATATTTACAATAACAAAGAGACAATAGAATCAAGGAGCCTTTTTTTTTTAATTTGAACACTTTTCTTATTATTATTTTATTTGTGTGCCAACAGCGTAAACTCGCTACAAGTCATGCGGGAATTTCTATAGATTAAATTAATATTCTATTAATGATACCTTCCTATGTTTTATTTTTTGCTGTTGTTGCTTTTTTAATTTATAAACTTTTTTATAAGATTAAACAGAAGACTAATGATAATAATAATAAAAAGGAATTACTTATTAAGTGTCGCTAGGTGATGATGAAGTTCACTTTGATGAGTAAATAACAAGGAATCTTGTTAATAACTTAATACATCTTCTTTTCTTGTTATCAGAAAAAATCTGCTCCAAAACCAATTTCAGGTAGTCCCTTTTATTTTTTAAAGATATGCAAATAAATTGGATCACGGTAATTACAGTGATAGTGGACATGCTTGTATGAATAACTAGCAAAAGTTTTGCAAGAGTATAGAATAAGTTTTGAGACAGGAAAAAACAAATGTTTATTGATCTAGAAGCTGCGAAGAAAATTAAAAAATTTCGATCCATTTCATGTTTGCGACCTGCTTCCGTGACTATTTCATCTTGATTGATATTTTCAATGCAATCAAAATGAGATAAATGACATTTGTCGAATGCTTAAAAGAGGAGAAAAATATGCACCTTAATTGTTCCCAGCAGATGATTTTTAATTTAACTGATACTGACGATGATGTCAAGCAAGTTTTATCAACTTCACGACGGTGACTGATGGATTATTATTATTTGTGTTATTATTGGAATCTTGCTTTCAATAAAACAGATTCTTTCAGATAGCTTGCAGTGTATTTCAAGCTTGGTTTACATTGAGGACTTCGTCATTAAACTTGCACATTTTTCACTTTTCATATTAAGATAATAAATTTAAAATAACTTGTCTATGGCCGGTGGTACATGGGCTGGCAATTGGCGTTAAAAAATATAAAAGTATTTTGCAGTCGTCTCTCTTGTGGAGCTTTTCGCAAATCGTTTCTTAGTACAGCCTATGTATTAAGGCGCGCGAAATCGATTTATTCGCTCTGCGAAGAAGTGTTAGAAATTGCTAAAAACAAAATCTTATAGAATAGGGTCAAAATCGGTTAAACTCATTAAATACCCAATATCACAAATAAAATCGTAGACAAATAGGTTAGGAAAAATCGTACCTTACAAAATGTTTATGTCGCTATTGCAACAGTAATGTACAGAATATGTGTCCTTTTACTGGAAAGCGGATTTCCGATTCACTGGAAAACGGACGTTAAGAGAATAAAGGGAATTCCGGTCGGCGTTTTTATCCAAAAAAACGTAAAAATAATAATTTAGCGATTACAATACACCACGAACTCACCGACAGGTCATTATTCCCACCATGCGTTCAAAGTTGTTATTAAAGTTAATGCAAGACTTTTTAATCTACGTTATGAATTGATTTTAAAGTCACATGTACGTCAGTACTATCAAATTGAAAAAATTTTATTTATTTTCTCTCTTTATATATTTTGTTATGAAAAAATTCCCTAAAAAAGGAAAAAATATAAATACATCATAAAATTCTAATTTGTTGTAACAGTTTTAAGTGCGCATCGTTTTATATAAATTTAATTGAATTGCAAAAAGTGGGGCGTAACGTTGGCAAGGAGTCTATGGTCACATATATATATATATATACATATTAATTTAAAAAATGCAAGAAGATGTTATTGATGTTATACGAAGACCTACTTCTCCTATAACGACTTCTTCATACCAATTACGGGCAGATCCTCGATTTTGCGTAACACCGCACAGTACTGGCATGAATTTACATAAAATAGCCGTACGTAAGCGACTTAGGCAAACTGAAAACAGTCCCCTTCATGAACGGCGGTCAGAAAAGACGGAGGTTATTACGAGAAGGCAGGATGGTCATCAACCGATTTCCAAACAGTCTCGAGCACTTGAAAGGCCGCAGATTCTGAGCATATGTCCCTTGCCCAAAAGATCGGATGTGGCCATAAGTATGGGCAATCGCACACAAAAAAGAACTTTGGCTTCCCTAGTAATATGTGGATTTAAATATGTATTGAAAACCTTTGCACCCTCAGCTTTAATTAATTTTTGGAGTTCATCTTCAGTGGACACGGCAGCGAGTCGTGCCATTAAAATTCCACCAAAGATTTTGTGCAACCAAATTATGGAGAACTTTGAGAAACAAATACGAAAATTTTCGAGCTCTGAGTTATTTGGTAGTGATGCAGCAAGGTTTATTGGGCAATTGAATGAGATATTTCTGGGCCGGTTGCAACACATCGACAAAGCCGAACCCAATAACACACACGTATGATTAAAATTAGAATCAAAGTAACAAGAAGACAGCTAGAGATTTTTTCGTTTCCGTAGCTAAGGCTAATTACTTATCAGGAATGGGTAGACGTATTACTTAAAATCACGGAATCTCTCGTTAAAAATACGGAGGAAATGGAATCTGAGATGTCGAAACGATTAGATAACGTACAATGTAACGTCGGTTGCCGTCGCAGCCAAAGCAACGGGCTCTTGCAATACAGAAAAGACGTCGATACTTTAATTAAAGTTATCCAAAATGCTTATCACAACCGCTGTTGGGACTTTCAAGGCATCGATTTTGTCACTACATCACGGTCGCAAGTATTGGGCATCCACGGCGTGACTGAAGATTTGCGTAACAAAGGTGGTTCTGTTGAAATAAATGTATGTTGTGTAAATGTTAATTCTATCGTAACATATTCTGAACAATTTTTCTACTTTTCCGTCGCACCGCCTCTAGGAAACGCCCGTAGATGAATTGGAACAGAAACCAAAAGTTAATAAACGATTATTTTGTTCTCCATTAAGGCATAAAAATTTTGTAAAACATACTTTCTATCTTTTTTTTTCTAGAAACAGGTCGTAGTTAATGAATTGAAACAGAACGTTGATGTGCGTAAAAAATTTGTTTTCCATTTATGCATAAAAAACATATTTTCCTTTTTCAGAAACAGCCGTCCGTTATAAAATTACAGCGGAAAAATAAGGTGCATAAAGAAAATCATTTCCATTCAAGCCTACACATTTTCTAACACATTATTTCTTTTAGAAACTAACCATCGTTCAAGGGTTGGAAGCATCAAACAAGGTGCTTATAAAATTAGATTGAATTCCGTTCAAGCCCAAATTTTGACAGAATTAATTTTTACACTTTGATTTCACTTCCCAATCCCTTCTCCTTTTGGGCTCCACGCAGCTTAAGGAGACTGAAAATTCCCTCGCCGCCGTAGTTGCCGAAAAACAAGGCGAAATAGAAAAGCTTAAGCAAAAACTCAATTCAGTGGAAGGCGAAATGAGGAATGCAAAGAAAACTATTCAATTTAAGGAGCGACTAATTAAAGAGCTGATTGACGACCTCAAGAACACAAATCTCACTTTGACTAAAACGGATGTTCACGACTTGTTATCAGAAACTTTAAAATTCTTATTAAAAAAATCTTAAGTAGAAGAACACATTTAAAAAAAAACGGTAGTTAATTTGTTGTGCAAACGGTGAAGAAGACTGTCCACAATAACACTGCTTTATTTTTTTTTTTGGTAATTTCTGCGCATAATAATCGTCGTCTCGTCGTGGTTTTTGCTTTTACTACTTACGCACTCTCGGAAACTATTGCTTCAAAAACTAAATATCGAAAACATGTTCAAATATGTTGCGAAAGCATTGCTACTTTCTCAAAACAGTGGTGTCAGAAAATAGGAATTCTTCTTGCGAAGCTGAATAAAAAATTACTGACACGATATTCAATTCTTAAGAAGGGAAATGAATAATAGTTAAACTTCTTTATGAGCTAGTCGAGTCCTTTAATGTGAATAAAAATATCAATCGAAAATGAGATAATGTGATGGTAATCTCTTGCAGAAAGTTAGTAAGTATAGTATGGAGACGCAATGCATAAATAGACATGGATCTTTCTTTTGCCTGGAATAAGAAATTTGATATTTACCATTAATTATTCGATCGTTCCTTCGAGCCCTTCTGTTTGGAGTTCTCATAGGGAAAAAAGATTTTGGTAACAATTTTTTTGGTTTATTTCAATATATATTCCTTGACACAACAATTTTACAAATTTCTCCCTTCTAAAAATGCTACAAGGTTATATATATGCATATATATATATATGCAAATAGCTGCAGAGCTTTCGGTTAACGTTTGTATTTATAACGCAATTATCACAAATTAGAGTACATCGTAGTTTATATTATGGTAAAAACACAAGGAAGGCAATTTGAAAAAGGTTGTGTAATTGAGATGGGATTCACTAACCAATTTAGCTGATCTTCCAACCAAATTGGACAAAAAGCAGACGACAAAATTTAATTTCTAAAAATCTTGAGATGGTTTCAATAGACAAATGCTCGCGCTGACGAGAGCTTAAGGGCGCATATGTCTGTCTTTTAAATAAGTAACAAATTTAATATTCAGTGCAATGGATATGAAAATCGTTTTGAGGCGAATTTATTATAATCGAGTTTAAGCCAAAAGGCTTACACTATATGAAACTGTACACTATATAGTTATGTTCTTACATGCGTATATAAAACTATGTACATGTATTCAAGTTCAAAAGCGTTGTTATTTTGGGTGTATTAGTTAAACAAAAAGTGTTTTATGACTGTCGCCTGACTGCTTTCGTTTATATCAGAATAAACTAAAGAAAACTTGCGTTATTTAGTGTAAAATAAACTCTCGCTTCGCTACTCTCTCCCTCTCTATCTCTCTATCTGTCTATATCCCCTTGTCTCGGTTTCTTTTCTCTCATTCATTTTGTCATATAAGATATGTATATAATATATATATATATATATATATATATATAATGCATACATAACATATATATACATATGGATAGTGGGCGTACAAATAGAAATGTGCTGGTGTGCAATGGTATGTTTGAATTGCGTTTCCGTTTTGTGGCAATCGTTTGGTTAATAATGTTTTTCCTCATATTTATTGCATGTGATGTTGCAGCGAATAAATTTCGAGTTTCGTTATAATTCTTCCTTTTTCATTTTTTGTTCAGGGAAAGGTTATATTTCGGTTTGGGACGAAAATTCATTAAAAATATTTTTCCAGTGTTAAATAGCTTTTAAAATACTCATATCCAATTTAATTTACTTATTTTGTAGAATAAGTTCATCACATAAATATAAAAATTGTAAAACGTCAATGGATACCACTCCACTGCTTCTCCAGTTTCCAATTGTGGGTAACCTCTTACAATTAAAAGCAACACATTCATTGTGATTCCCACAAACTTTCTCCAATTCAAACTTTTGCATTCGGAGGGACTGTCCTTATGGACATCTTGAAAACGCCTATAGAACATAACATCAAGAAAATATTCAATTTCATTGAAACTTTATGGGCTAGACTAACCATCTAGGAACTTTTTTTTTAAGTAAAGCCCATAATCTTAGCTGCGTTACTGATGAAACACTACTGGTTAGCAAAAAAAAACCACGACTCAATTAACAAATTTTGCAAATCGTACGTGAAAATGGTAGGACTTCATTTTTTGTTCTCCTTAAAATAGCAAGAGTCTAAATTACGTACAATCTGAAAAAGGAGTCCCTTTTTTATTTGGTTTTATCTATAACCTCGAAGCAAGCATCGAGAATCTCAGCAAACTGGTTCTCACATTTTTAATTACTCTTCTCAACACAAAAAACACTTAAATAGGAACCATCGTCAGCCCACAATTCCCAAAGCATATATATTTGTATACTTTAAGAATGCGCAATAACCTATGAAATGTCTCACTTTATGAAAATACAATGTGCGGGTTGACGCATTCAAGATAGAATTGCGCAATATCGTCGCTTTATTTTGCAATTAAATCAATAATTATTATTATTATAAATATTTAGTGGAGGGCTCTAGAGGCCGAATATTTTCAGCATATTTTTTCTTTATTTGAGTGTAAAATACTCGTTAGATCCGCTCAGGATGGGATTGATCCGCCGGCTGAACAAAAATTCGAAGCATTTAATATCGAAAGTTGATCCCCTTGTTTACATACTTTTTGCGCAATCGAAAACAAATGGTACTTGCTTTTGGATTTGAAATGATTTTGTGTTAAGCCTTGTCTTTCTTTTTTTTCCAATATTTTAAATTATTGAATGCCCTTTGCATGTTCATAATTATATAAGTGGGTATGTTTTCCTATTCGAACGATGATCGTGATAACGGATATGAGCTAGTTACCGTTGAAGTTTGTCAAATCATTAATACTACCAAAATTGAGACACGCACATAATCAAGCGCTGCCTAACTTGTTTATAGGCTTGCGTGACTCTTACGAATCTGTTAAAACATAACAGCAATAACGAGTTAAGCATGAAAATGTGTTGAAAAACTACAAAATAAAAGTGAAAATAAAATGAGAAATGAAAATTGAATAAAGAAGGAAAAACGTTCTTGAAAATATGAAAATTTGAAAGAATTAACTGCAACCAAATAAAGAGAGAGAAAAGAAACGTACAAGAAATACAAGAAATATAAAAATACATTGGTATTTGAATTTTAATATGCATTTTCTATTCAATACAAGACATGATTTTGTCCCCATTTGGTACTAGTTGTCGCGTAAAAGTTACATATATATATCCGAAATTGAGCTTTTTTCATGACTCGGACGTCTGACAGCAATTATCAGTCGTAATACCAACGCATATCTCAGAAATATTATCGCTAGCAAATATAGAGACTGTACTTTGATTTTATTTTATCAAGTTATCAAGAGGATTAGGAGGGGAGAACGGGCGAATATTTCTTTCCGGAAGGTTGTAAAAAAGGAAATAGAAAAAAAAAACATAATAAATTCTAGAAAACATTCGAAAAAAAAAAATAATAAGAAAAAAATGTTTTGCGCTTGAGTCGAAATGAAATCGTCTGGATGTTTTTGACTGTGTGGATCTAAAATATACAATTTATGATATCGAATTTTGATATTACGGAAGATAATGCTTTGAAAAAAAATATTTGGAGCGTGAGTTTTTTGCGCTAAGCGATAATTTCATTACGTAATTTTTGGTGGAAAAGTTATCAAAACGTGTACAAAATGTAAGAAAAATCCCGACAATAATGAATTCCTTGACTTATTTGATATATGGAATGCTTGAAAATATCAAACAATACTGATATATGAAAATTACAAAAACACTCAATAAATTTTGTACACGTTTTTTTTTTTTTTTTTTTTTTAGGAGGAAAAAGTTCAATAGAAATGCTTTTTCTCAAAATTTGTTGCACACATTTTTAAATCAATAAACGCACTTCCCTTGTCTAATTAAAATAGCATCAGTATGGTATCGCCGGAAGTGGAACTAATTTAGCTAGGTGTGATACAATGAATTCGCCATATTCTTTTAACTTTTAGGACCGTGTAATCCCATCACTTCCTCACAGTATCTCTCTCTTAATCAACATTGTCCGTGATCTTTATATTTAATGCAATCTTTTCGCATTAACACTTTCTGGTCCCAATTAAGCACCGACGGATTTGAAATAATTGGTTTAAGAAATGACTTCGAGTAACGATACTTTGGACCGCCTCGATTCCCGACGAGATTAAACCGGAAAACGTGCATGCGCACCTCAAAAGTTTGTACAAAAAAAAGCTAAGTTGGACGTTACACAACGAAGATGTGAGGCTTTGGGCCAAATGAAGTCGTTTTGCCAACAGCCTTCTCTTCCCTCTGTTACCAAGAATGAAAAGTGAATTTACTATCAGAATCTCAGGAGCAAAATTAACCAGGCTCACCATCACAATCTGTGGTAAGACCGAATCACTATAGTGAGACGACGACGCTCTGTGCCTACCGAGATCAACCTGGCCAAACTGTTAATGCTAAACCTAACTAGCCGCAGTTAATTTATTTCAACAAGGCACTGATTAAAAAAACCAGAATATCAAGAAGAGCAACTCAAAATAATTTCTTTTATTACATAGCGTTCATCCATATATCCAAATCACAAAATAGGTTTATGATGTCTTTGATCGATTATTATTTACTTGCATCAATGCGCTATGCACATAATAAAGATCGCCTCACCTCTTACAAAATAAACGAAAATAGCTAGATGACTAGTCGGCGTCAAAAAGACAGCAGTTGTTTTGGTGTGGCAGCCACAAATTGTGCGACAAATTGAGAGAATGTACAGTTAGCGATGGCCAATATTTCGAATGCTGTATTTTTTATCATTTTGATATGAACGATTATCACGATATATTCTTCACTTGAGTTCGCTTAGATTTATTAACCTTGTTCCATTGATCGTTTATACTCCCGTAAGAATAAAAGAGACTAACTTTGGGAAGTAAGCATCGCACACCTATATTTTCGATTATTGATGAGGTCCGTCTCGGGGCCGTCTTCCTGTTTTTAGGTGTGAACCTAGCTCTTTCTCTCTATTGCAATTCTGAAAGCCGTGAAAAAGCCCTTAAGAGTCTCAACAAATAGCTCGGAG